ACAGAGTCTCACTATTTGCCGTCAATAGAGTTTTCTGATGTCACAGTTCACAGCAACCTCCTACTCCAGGGGGCTCAAGTGATTCTCTTCCTGCAGCCTCCCAAGTAGTTGGGACTATAGGTGCCTGCCACACAGCCTGGCTAATTTTAGAGACGAGGTCTCACTCTTGCTCAGGCTGGTCTTGAACATGTGAACTCAGGGCACTCCACCCGCCTCCATCTCTTATAGTGCTAGGATTATAGGAGTGAGCCACGCACCTGGCCTCTTCTGAGGCCTTTGTTTCTTAGCCCCTTTAAACTTGTACATAAGCTACTGTTTCCTTGTTGTTTTTCTCCTTGATTTCTCCACCTGCCCTTGGCACCTACATTCCGCAATAAAACTTACTCAGCAGTTTCTGATAAAGGAACCACAGCATTTACAGCTGAGAGCCCAAACTTTACTCAAGGATTTCCCAGGACAAAATGGGCTGTCTTCAACCTTAAAAAAAGGTCCTTTTAAAGTAATTTTCACCACTCCCACTGCAGCTGAGCTTTTGGGAATCCCCTTCAGAGTCAAACTTCCAGACTTCCAGAATCTGCTTGTGCCTACAGCAAATTCCCTGAGAGTCCACGGGTTTCTACCTGCTAGCACATCAGAGATACCAGGCTCTGAGTCACTTGATGGAAGTCTGAAAACTGTGAGCTTTCATAGGCTGTATATGCCGCCTCTTATTGCCCTTTTTGTCCTCTTTATGCTTCTCCTGTCATTGTGTGAATGTCACCACAGCCCAGCTTCCATACCAGCCCAGTCAGTCCTTTGCCCCTACTAGTGTTACCAGATGATCCAGCCTCCTGTCACCATCAGCCAATAGCGTACAGAGACAGGATAGGTCCGCCAAACTTTGTCAGAAGGCCAGGATTCTGGAGAACAGTGAGAGTAGCCTCTCCAAGACTGTTGTGTCCTTCTATTTCTAAAACCACAGTTTTATACATGAAGGTTCAAAGCAAAGACCACATTAACTCTTATTTTAAATAATAATCAGTACAACTCAGGGACCTATTACTACATTTCCAATTCAAAATTAATTTCATAAACCAATCCTCCTAAACTACTCAAGATGGGCATCTTTACTAAATTTACCAAAAAGTACGAATAGGAGACAGGAGGTGAAGGTCAAGTAGGACCTAAACTGACCAGGCCACCTGTGTCATGTTGGCACTGGCCTGACTTACCCCATCCTATTTTCACCACCTGTGCTCTCACCGAGAACCCTAATAATCTCTCCATATCTCCCACTACTGGTGCTCTATAATATCCCTATTTGCCTGTAGTCCGATGGGGTCCTCTGTCTTTCCAGAGCTGTAGACTCTTCTCATCAGGTGGGTCCATAGTTTTCTTGGTTAATGCCTCTTTTAGGCCCCATAACAGGCTCTGCTTATGGTATTCATTTTAGACCCTATGTTCTATCTAACAGCCTAGATACAGAGCCTAATTCAAACTTCAGCAGTTTCTCTCCAGCAAAACCCACCTTCTGCCTCTAATCTTGCTGTAAAGACTGTTTTTCAACCCCTCCCCCTTAATGATTCAAATGAACGCCCAGGTAAGGGCAACCCAATGACGCATGCCAGCAGGAAGGTAATACAAAAAAGGAGACCTCAGTCCCAAATCACCAGTTTCTGAGTTCATTTTTAAAACGGAAATCTTAATTTTAATCAGAGGAAGGAGGAAAATGAATGGATAGCTTTTCTAAAATAACAGGAAAAAGGAATATCTAACCCCTCAATTTCTCAGTAACAGCTAAGATCAATCCTATGAGCTCTGTGTCAACAGGCACCCCAGGAAGTCTGTGTGTGTGGGTGTTTCTGTTTTCAATCTGAAAAGAGCTGAGCAGATGGAAAGAAACATAAATCTTTTTTTTTTTTTTTCTTCTGAGACAGAATCTCAAGCAGCCACCTTGGGTAGAGTCACTGCAAACCCCAACTCGGGCTCAAGTGATCCTCTTATCTCTGTTTTTCTATTTTTAGTAGCAACAGGGTCTCACTTTCTCTCAGGCTGGTCTTGAACTTGTGAGTTCAGATAATCCACCAGCCTCAGCCTCCTAGAGTGCTAGGATTACGGGCGAAAGCCATCACACTTTGGTAATCTGCTTGTACAACCTTTATGATTTCCTCGGTGCGTGGGACTAGTGAGCTTCAGGCTTCTGTTCTTGCCCCAAACCATATCTCAATGGCAAAATCACATCCCCAGGGATAAGTCTGTCTCCAAGGAAAAAGCAGCTGCTTCTGCTATTAAGAAAAAAAGGGAACAAGTGGATGTAACAGTTTCACACAGCACTTCTGTCATCAAGTGACAGCAATTGTTATATTTTTCCTTTGTGTTTGTCCCCATAAATATGGCAAGCCACTTGGCTTCCTTGCGGGTACCTCCCTTCTCTTTCTGGATGCAATGCCATGCCATGCCATGCCATCAGCTCTCTCTCCTTTTCTCCCTCTATTTCTCTTCTCTCTCTCTCTCTCTCTTTTTTTTTTTTTTTTTTTTTTTTGGAGACAGAGTCTCACTATGTCACCCTTGGTAGAGTTCTGTAACGTGACAGCTTACAGCAACCTCCAACTCCTGGGCTTAGGCAATTCTCTTGCCTCAGCCTCCCAGGTCTCTGGGACTACAGGCGCCCGCCACAATGCCTGGCTATTTTGGTTGTTGTTGTTGTTGTTGTTGTTGCTGTTGGCAGTTTGTAAGTGGCTGACGCCCTACCCGCTGGGTTACCAACACCACCCCTTCTCTCTCTTACTATCACCCCCTTTCTCTTTCTATCTCTCTCCACTTAAAAAGATAAAATAAGCCTGGTGCAGTGGCTCATGCCTGTAATCCTAGCACTTTAGAGGCCAAGGCAGGTGGATTTCCTGAGCTCATGGGCTCAAGACCAGCCTGAGCCAGAGTGAGACCTCATCTCTAAAAATAGCTGGGCATTGTCACTGGCAGGCACCTGTAGTCCCAGCTACTTGGGAGGCTGAGGCAAGAGAATCACTTGAGCCCAAGAGTTTAAAGTTGCTGTGAGCTATGATGCCACAGGACTCTACGGAGGGCAACAAACTAAGACTCTGTCTCAAAAAAAAAAAGAAAGGTAAAATCAACCTTTTTACTTAGATGGCTTAATCTCTGTGTGAGAAATTTTTCTCCACCTGTGCCATGAGCTCTACGTAAATCTCCCCCCAACACTTACTTCCAAGAGTCTACCATTAACATTTTAATATTTATTTTAATTCCTATCTATTCATCTGTCCTTGTCCGTATCTATTTATCCATCTTATTTTTCATGCATTTCAAGGTAATTTTCAGACATCAATGCTTCCTTCTAAATACTTCAGCATGCATATCATTAACCAGGGCTTAATATTTGTTTAAAAGTTCTAGTTTTACTATAAAATTTACATAGAATCAAATGCACAGATCTGAAATGTACATTCTTTGAGTTTTGATGACTGCACGGAAAACCTAGCATAAGTAACTGAGGCAAAGGTCTCAATCAATACAGCAAGATAGAACACAAACCCTTAAACATTTCTGTGACTCCTTTTCAAAGGGTGATTTGGTAACTTTAGTAAAGGGAACAGGAAATCCAGAACACAAAATTGAGGAGTGAGGCGGGCATGGAGGCAAAATGGTTACATTCTTGTTAGGCCTAGGAAATCTACCTTTTATATAAGATGCGCTGGATATTTGAGAAGAAAAAAGGAGGGAAGGAAGAATCAATGAAGTTGATGTCCCTGGGTAGGTGGAAGAGTGATTGATCTTGTCTCTGTTCTGCACCTGGAAAGGTAAACTTGTTATTAATGTAGAATCTTAGAGACTTTAGTGTTAGAAGCTAAATTTAGCCTGTAGAGCAAAGTTACAATTTGCACTTTCTTGGTTATGGAAAGGCAACAAGGAATTTCCTTAGGAGTGACCCTTGTAGACGCCTGAGGCCTTTTACCTTCCCAGGAATCTGGCTGAGGCCTGTGAGTAATAGATTTTCATTTGAAAGTGCACGTTGCCAGTGACTCAGCCTCTAGGTTTGACCTTCCCTTCCTTTTGCATGTAGTGTTGGGGCGGGGAGGGGGGCGGGGGACGACGACATACTGATATTTTTATTTTTCTTTACAGCATATACCTATAAACTTAAATATCTATCAAGATAATACAATGTTACCATTATTCCAGAAAGCTCTCTGATAGCCTTCTCCTATCTAATGCATTGTTATGACTTTTTTGTAGTATCTAATAATTTTATTTTGCAATTCTGTAATGAGATTAGAGCACGTTGTAAAAAAAATTAGATATTCTTTCTTTTCTCTTTTGTTTTCTTTTTTTTTTAGAGAGAGAGTTTCACTTTGTCTTCCTCAGTAGAGTGCTGTAGTGTCACAGTTCACAGCAACCTCCAGCTCTTGGGTTTAGGTGAGTCTCTTGCCTCAGCCTCCAGAGTAGCTGGCACTACAGGTGCCCACCACAATGCCCGGCTATTTTTTGTTGCAGTCAGGCCAGGGCCAGTTTTTAACCGGCCACCCTTGGTATATGGGGCCAACGCCCTACTCACTGAGCCACAGGTGCCCCCCCATTAGATATTCTTTCAATCTTTTAAAAATTATTTAGAACTGGCTCGGTGCCGATAGCTCAGTGGTTAGGGAGACTGTTGGATTTGAACCCGACTCGAGCCTGCTAAAAGCAACAATGACAACTCCAATAACAACAAAAATAGCAGGGTATTGTGGTAGGCAACTGTAGTCCCAGCTACTTGGGAGGCTGAGGCAAGAGGATCACTTAAGACAAAGAGTTTGAGGTTGCTGTGAGCTGTGAAGACACGGCACTGAACCGTGGGTGACATAGTGAGACTCTGTCTCAAAAAATAAATAAATAGGTGGAGCGCCGATCAGCTCGATGTTGGGGGAGGGGTAGCAGCTGTGGTGCTGCGACCTACTGGGGGGTCCGCGGCCACTGTCTTCCCCTCCCAGCCTTTTCCCTCAGTCTCCGGCTCCTTCGCACACCGGCAGGCCCCAGAGAGCTGCCGGGAGTTCCCTGGGAGCTACAGGTGCTGAATACTTATTTTGCTGGGAAGTAGAAAAATACTTGGGGAGTAAAATATGCCCCCCAAGTTCAAGCACCACCTAAATGATGATGATGTCACTGGTTCTGTGAAATGTGAAAGAAGAAATCTTTGGGAAGATGATTCAGATGAAGAAGAGGACTTTTTTCTAAGAGGACCTTCTGGACCAATATTTGGACCCAAAAATGATAAAATTAAGCATGTTCAGTATCAGGTGGATGAAGTTATTGATGTTCTGCAAGAAAATATTACAAAGGTAATTGAGAGAGGGGAGAGACTAGATGAACTACAGGACAAATCAGAAAGCTTATCGGATAATGCTTTTAGCAACAGATCCAAACAACTTCGAAGGCAGATGTGGTGGCGTGGTTGCAAAATAAAAGCCATCATGGATTTGGCTGCAGTTATCCTTTTGCCAGTGATTATTATTCTTATAGTTGTGAAATATCGTGCTTGCTTCGGCAGCACATATACTAAAATTGGAACGATACAGAGAAGATTAGCATGGCCCCTGCACAGGGATGACATGCAAATTCGTTAAGCGTTCCATATTTTTAATGTACATAGTTACCATTCAATAAAAAAAAAGAAATATCATACTTGATTTGATGACAGAGATCTTCATTAAACAAGATCTGGGACAATAATAATAAAAGATTGCTGCATAATTTAAGTGAAACCTATGTATATAACTTTCAAAACTTCATTTTCAAGAAACTAAGAGGTAAATATCACTTCAAACTGGAGCATTGAGAATGTCCAATTATCTTCTTCTAACAAAAACCGACCCCCAAACTTGGAAGTGATTAATTATGTTTAAGGTGAAGGTAACCAACCTGTATTTTGCCATATTCCAAGGATCTAATTTGAAACTAGATACTTGCGTATCTAGTTAATAATTTGTGTATTTAGCTAATGAAGACTAATGACAATATTTCGTACTAGTATTATAATGGCATAAGGACTTGACATTATTGCGTTAAGGTTCAGGTGAGGCTGGGGGTCAGGAAGGCTATGAAGGTACCAAGTCATTATGCTGAGAGAGATGCATAACCATTCTGTCAGTATCTGCAAAAATATTCTTTTCATCTTACAGTTGCTTTGCGAGCAATTCCTACATGTTTCTGGGTGTAACAAAAGTGCTAAGTGTTGTAAATGTTGCTGCCTTCAACTATAACTGAAAACATTCCAGTAAGTCTGTTTTTGGCTATAAGGAAATATGTAGTAATTTTTTGTCATTTGGATTATGGAAATTGGAAATTTAAACAGTGCGAAAAGACGGTATGGCACCATAAAAACTGGAGATAATAAAATTACTGAAGAATGTTAAATAAATAAATAAATATTATTTAGAACTGTGTTAGGTTGATAACAAAATTGAGTGAAAAATGCAGAACGTTGCTGTGTGCCCTGTGTCTCCACACTCCTACAACTTCCCCACTGTCCACATCTACACCAGAGTAGTCCATTTATTATTGTTGCAAGAAGACGAGGCCTAAGGGAGAGAAAGAGCACCCAAACACCGAGTTTGAAAGAGGAAGGGGCTTTATTTCAGCCTGTGCAGACCTAGAATCCCAAAAGGACCGTGCTCCCGGACTGGCTCACTCTTCTTTTTATCTCCAAAAAGTTCTGGCCCATGTCTACCTTTCTTATTGGTCAGTTTGAATCAAGCTGCTCTGGCTTTTACAGGGGGCTTTTTCAGAAGCATTAGTTTTCAGGTCTCAGGAAGCTAAGTTTTTACAAATTCGTAAAAGCTGAGTCAAGGAGGGGGTGGGGGGAGGCACCTCGTGGATGTATCCGTAGGGTCTCCTTGAGAAGATCTCTGTTTTTTCAGATCTCACTTTTTCTGGGTATCCTCTCTCATTATGGTATGAGCTTACACTGATACATCATTATTAGCCAAAGTCCATGGTTCACACGAGGGTTTGCTTTTGGTGTTGTATTTTCTGTGGGTTTTGACACTACATGAGGACATGTATTCACTGTCATAGGATCATGTGGAATGGTTACACTGTCCTAAGAGTCCTCTTCACTCTCTCTATTTACCACTAACTACCTCCTAATCTCTGGCAACCACGCATCATTTTACTATCTCCATAGTTTTGCCTTTTCCTGAAAGTTATGTAGTTGGCATCACACAGTACACAACCTTGTCAGATTGGAGTCTTTCATTCAGTGAAGTTTCCTTCATATCTGTTCGTGATGTGAGAGTTCTTTTGTTTTTAGGGCTGAGTGATATTCCATTATCTGGATGTACCACATGTATTTATTTATTTATTCACCTACTGAAAGACTTCTTAATCGCTTCCAAGTTTGGGGGTCAGTTTTTGTGTGGACACAGTTTTCAGTTTATTTGAGTAAATACTAAAGAGTGAGATCGCTGGATTATATGCTAATTTTGAAAGATATTGCCAAACTGTTTTCCAAGGTATCATATTACATTCCCTTGAGGGATGAGTGAGAATTCCCGATTCTCCACTTCCTTACAGTATTTAGTGTTGCCACTGTTTTGACCTTTGGTCATTATGATAGGTATCTAGTGGTAGCTTCTTATTGTTTTCACTGAAATTTCTCTGATGACATACGATGTGGGGTATCTTAGTATGCTTATTTGCCAAGGTGTCTATGGCCTATTTTTATTTAATTACTTTTCTTTGAGACTGAGTCTCACTTTGTCTCCCTGAGTAGAATGCCGTGGTGTCATAGCTCACAGCAACCTCAAACTCTTGGGCTCAAGAGATCTTCTTGCCTCAACTTCCCAAGTAGCTGGACTATAGGTGCCTCCCAAGTAGTTGGGACTACAGGCACCTGCCATGATGCCTGGTTATTTTTAGATGAGGAGCTCCACTCTGACTCAGGCTGCTCTTGAACTCCTGAGCTCAAGCAATCCACCCACCTTGGCCTCCCAGAGTGCTGGGATTACAGGAGAGAGCCACCATGCCTGGCCTATTGCCTGTTTTTAAATTGCTTATGTTTTCTTATGGTTGAATTTTGAGAGTTCTTTCTACGTATGTGTATTTTAGATAATGACACTTTATCAGATGTTTCTTTTGCAAATATCTTCTCCAAGTCTGTAGCTTGCCTTTTCATTCTCTTGACAGTGCCTTTCATAGAGTAGTTTTTAATTTCAATGAAGTTCAATTTGTCAATTATTTCTTTCGTGGATTGTACTTTTGGTGTTGTATCTAAAAAGTCATTACCACACTTAAGTCATATGCCCTCCTATGTCATCTTCTAGGACTGTTATAGTTAGGTGTTTTACTTTTGGGTATATGATCCATTTTGAGTTAATTTTTGTGAAGGGTATAAGGTCTGTGCCTGGATTCATTCTTTTCTTAATGAATGGCCCTTTGTTTCAGTACCATTTGTTAAAACAACTATCTTTTCTCCATTGTATTTAACCTTTGCTCCTTAGTCAATGATCGGTTCATTATATTTACGTGGGTCTCTTTCTGAACTCTCTTTTATTTCACCGGTGATTTGTCTATCTATTCACCAGTATCACTCTTGAGTCCTGCAGCTTTATGGTACGTCTGGAATTTCTGTAGTGTGTGTCCTCTGACTTTCTTCGCCTTCAATATTGGGTTGGCTCTTCTAAGTTCTTACCTTTTCATAACAAATTTAGAATCAGTTTTTTAATATTCACAAAACTAATTTCAAGGATTTTGATTGGGATTATATTGAGTTTACAGATGAAGTGGTAAGAATTAAGTCTGTTTATATATTAACATGAAACATACTTAGCTCTTTCTTTCATCTGATTTCTGTACTTTTGTTTTAAAGTTCCATTTGCTCTTTGCTGATATATAGGAAAGCAATCAACTTTTGGATATTAACCCTGTGTCCTACAACTTTGTTATACTTGCTTATGGGTTTGAGCAGGTTTGGGTTGGCTCTTTTGGATTCTCTGCATAGCAACTGTGTTAACCGTAACAAACACAGTTTTATTTCTTCTTCCCAATCCGACCCCCAAACATTTATTTCTTTTTCAAATCTTACTGCATTAGCTAGGACTTACGGTACTATGCTGAAAAGGAGTTGTGAAAGGGGACCTCTTCTCTTGCAACTGATCTTACTGAGAAAGCTTCTGGCTCCTCCCCATTAAGTATGGTGTTACCTGTCTGTTTGTTATAGATGTTCTTTATCTAATTGAGGAAGTTCTCCCTCATTCCTAGTTTGCTGAGAATTGGTATTGCTTTTGGATTCTTAGAATTTTCTACTCTCTTTTTACATTCTCCATTTCTTGTTGCATGTTGTCATTTTTTTCCATCAGTCCTTAGTGATCATAGTTATTTTATGTATTTAATTTTATTTTTTTAGAGACAGAGTCTCACTTTATCGCCGTTGGTAGAGTGCCATGGCCTCACAGTTCACAGCAACCTCCAACTCCTAGGCTTAGGCGATTCTCTTGCCTCAGCCTCCCAAGTAGCTGAGACTACAGGTGCCCACCAGAACACCTGGCTATTTTTTTTTTGCTGCAATTTGGCCAGGCCAGGTTCGAACCCACCACCCTCGCTATATGGGGCCAGCACCCACTGTAACCACAGGTGCCATCCAATCATAGTTATTTTAAATTTGTGGTCTGATATTTCTGACATTCATGACATCTCTTAATCTGGATCTGATGCTCGCTCTGTCTCTTCTCCTGGTGCCTTTTGCCTTTTAGTATGCCTTGTAATTTTCTGTTGGAAAGGGGAGTATGACATACCAGGTAAAAGGAACTCTGGCAAATAAGCTTAGGATGTGGTGGTAAGGTTTAGGGGGAGAAAACATCATTCTGCAGTCCTGTGAGTGGATCGTAGTCTTTTAATTAGCCTGTGGCCTGGGCTGTGAAATTTACAAATGCTTCTCAGTGTTTCTCTCCTCAGGTGGGACAGGAGGGTTAGAGTGGTCTGGGGTTGGGGATTACCCTTCTCTCTGTGGAAGGCTAAAGCAGGCTAGAGGTGGATTTTTCCCTTCCCCTAGGTCAGACAGATTTTGGTGAAACCCAACAAGTTAGCTTTGTTAAAAGTGGTTTGTCTTGAAGACAGGCTTTGTTAAGAACAGAATGCTCTGGCATATTTTAGAGCCATGACACCTGAATCATGACAAAAATTATCTCATTTTCCATTTTGAGACTCTGAGAGAGCTATTGGAGTTCAACGAATTGTCCCCCTCCTCCTGTGGATGGGCCCCCCTAGAGTTTTAACTCAGACTTGCCCACACCAAGCTTCCAGCAACTTGTCATTTATAGTTTGGTTTTCCTGCTTGGGTGCTAGTTCGAGCTTGTTCCTGCCCCTGGGTTTCTGCTACTGTAAGCCGTGATTCTTGTTATTCATCTGTCTCTCCAATCACTGGGGCTTCCCGACTTTACTAATCTGACGGATCTAAGCAGAGTTGTTCATTTTTCAAGTTTTTCACCTTTTTATTTGATAGTAGATGATTATGACTTTAAAATTCCTCCTGTTTTGTAATGGAAACTGGAAGCCTCTGCTATGATTTTCCAGAAGAATTAAGGACCCCAAACCTAGGATTTGCTCTTTGCTCCTACCTGTCACAGGCTTTTCCTGAAAGTTGTGTGATGAGCAGTCTATTGCTGTTCCTGAATGTGGGGAAAGGGGAAAGGGTTGGGAGAGTTGGGGAGAGGAATTTTGTCAGTAGCCCAGCATGGCCCTCCATGCACGTGTGGTGGACAGTGGAGAAAGCTGAGGATACACATGTTGGGAAATTCTTACCCCAGCCATCCATCGTGCATTCTCGCCAAAGCAGTGTCATGAGAACAACATTTCTTGGTATATCCCCTCATTGTGTACCTGTCCTTCAGCCCCCAGCAAAGCCTGGTCCCTATTTTCTTGCCTGGGAACAAGGCTCAACAGACCCCCATCCTCTGCGTGGACCACAATGGAATTCAGCTGGCTAGTGGCACACCCTCATGTCTGTGTTGTCTGACTGGACAGGCTGAGCAGTGTGGCAGTGAGACTCTCAGGGGTGTAAATCCCTCAAATGGGAGACACGCCCTTATCAAGCTGCCTGAGGACTCTCCATTTCAACCCCACTTCTCTCCTCCTCCTTTACAAATTTTTTATTATTTTCCTTGAACTACATCCTTCTGCATCTATTATCAAGAAAATAATGAAAGTTCATTGTAAGAAAGTTGAAATAAGACAGCACAAAAAGAAACTGCCCTCTCATATCCTGTCCAAGCTCTGACACCTGTAAACTCTTGAAATTGGGATCAGATAGTCTTTGATCGGGACCTGCCTTAATCCCGAGAGGTGGCATGCCACTGATACCTGCCTTGATTGTCCCCTGGGCTGTCCCCTTCACAGCCCTCACCAAGGCTGCACTTGCATGTGGATATGTGCCATGCTTTGATTTGCTTGCTCTGTGGGGATGTGAGCCTAGAGACAGCAGCTATGAGCATTTGCCTCACTTCTGTGTCCCCAAGCCCAGCGCAGCACCATCTCATAGGGGATGCATATTAAATATTTCTTAAAGGCATAAATATTACACATAATAAGACTTTTACATATGTGAATTATGAACTTTTTTAGATGTAGACCTGGAGAAAAGGGACCAAGCCTTCCAGTAATATCTTTTTTTATTAACTCATTTACAAATAGAGATGAACACCAACATTTGTAAAATTTAGTGTTTAAAGTTTATCAATTCAGAATGTAGACATGCATTTCCCCCAGTGTTGATGCCGTGGGAAGCCCAAGCCGTGGAGAGGCCCCAGGGAGGTGCCCCAGTTAACAGCTTGAGCTTAACACTCAGCCACCACCAGCACTGTCCGGCCCAGTCAAATCTACAGATGTCTCCATCACAGAGACCTCCAAGTGAAAACCATATAGCTGAGTACAGTCAAGAAATGTGAAGATGTTTCCAGGCCACTAGGTTTCCAGGTGTTTTATAGTAATGGAGAAACAGTCTTTTCATGGCACTCCCCAATGTTGCCTGTATGCCTGTGTCCTAAAAATCTACCTCTTAACCAGCTCCATCTCCCAACACCTGGACCCTATTGCTTCCACAGGGTCTTGTCTCAGAGGTACTGACTGGCTGGTGTCTGCTAAAATGCTCACCTCTCATCTCTCTACTGCCAGCTGTGTCTTCTTTCTTCTTCTGGAAGCCCTCCCCTACCACCTCACTCTCCATAGCAGCACCAGCTCCTATGGGGCAGGGTCTGTCTCATTCTCAGTGGTGAAAGCTGGTACATTGTGGGTGCTACATAAATTCTAATTGTATCAAATTTAAGTCACAATCCACAGAAGGTATTTAGCTTGGGAATCCCTCCAACCTTCATGTTACCACCCTGGCTATTTTATTACAAAATCCAAATTAATTTCACTTCAGATGTCACATTTGTCATTTTAGGTCCAAAAGTTTAAAATTTTAGCTACTAGGGAAGGGTACAGGAGAGACCAGCATGGCACATGGTCCAATCCAGATGGACTTGGACAGACCCCTGGAGGCTCTGCAGGCTGAGACCCCGTTGTCCACCTCATTTCCTTCCTCCAGTACAGAGTCAATTCATTGAATACTTTCACTTATTTATATTTTCTTCAATGGGAGCATGAGATTTGGAAAACACAGGTGATGCGATAATGTGTTTTAGCCAGTACAATGTGAGTTTTTCTTGTTGTTTAAAAACAATTCAAGGATTAGGTAGCTTGGTGTAAACATAGCCACAGACTCATCTCTAATCCTCTCATTTGTCTTCCACCTTCTGAGGCCAGCATACTATTTGTAAAGACCAGCCCAAAACTTGGGGGGTTTATCCCTCCCTCATCACTTGTGGACTCAAAGCCTTGGAAACCCATTAATACCTATACTGCCTCAACTACAAAGTAGCCAAGGGATTTCACCAGCAGATGTTCCAAAACTTCTGACCCATAACTTCACTGGGTTGCAACCATCTTGGGTGAAATGCATATGATCTTTGTTTAGTATTAAAATCATGTCAATCTGTCCACTTTTCTAAAAAGTGAATTTAAAAAAAAAATAAAAAGTGAATTTTTCCCTTATTAAAACAACTTTCCTTTGTCCTTATAGATCACATGTCAAATTTGGCTCCAATCAAGGCTTGGGCTCAACACAACCACTGCTCAGCTGATGTAACATCTGTCATCTGTGATCAGAAGAGCTGGAGGCCACCCACTCTTCCTCCTAGTGAACCACTAGCACAGGAGTCACGTCTTTAGACATGCTCACGTTTGACTACACAATAAGTGCATTTAAAACAGAAAGAAACCCCACCACATTCGATATTCAGTTTTATTTAAACAGGTAAAAATTTATACATCCTCTTAAAAACAAAAATCCAAAGTAAGTAAGCAAATCAATAATACAAACATGATTATAGCAGTAATTAAAATAGAGGTAACATTTTACCAGTGTACAAATGTCATGGAATTCACATCACACTCAGATCTTCAATGATTCAAGTGTGTATTCCACACAGTTGGGGCTGGTCAGTTTTAAGATAAAGTTCCTTCTCTGCACACGCTGTCCCCAGTCAAGTGTCTCCTCATCACCGTCTGTCAGCTCACACGGTGGGATAGCTGGCTGCTGTGGCGATTCCACAGTGGTTTTTCTGGTCTTTGGTCATCTTGATGTAACCACCTAAGCCCCATTCTTCACCCCAGCTGAAAGGAGAGCAGGATTCCCATTTCAGAGAGAGAACACAGCACACTGGTTCATTAACCTAACTTACAGTGTACCAGTGACCACAGACTTAACAGAAAGAATTAGGACAGGCAAGTGCTCTTGTTCAGTCTTTATAATTATTGAGTCTGAATCTGCACATAATTCCTATCCCAGACCCTGAACTATGACCTTTCACAACCTACAAAATCAGGTAGAAAAAGGGTGGATGTCCTTCCAGCTAGGTATGTTTCAGAAATAAGAAAATCTTCAGAATTTAGAAATATCATGGTACAAATACCACATTAATACCCCTAAAATGTCTGTGACAGTATCTTAATGTTATAAATATTAATATTCTTTATTCAACCAAAGGAGGATAAAAACTGGTCGGACTTCAGAAGTATGTATGTTTAAGGCTTTGTGGACCTGAATCCAAATACTGACTGCAAATAAGACCTCCCTTTTGAATTTCAAACGAGCATTTTTAGCAATTTATACCTGTTCTTCACCAGCCAAAACTTATTGTTATCCGATTCTGTTTCTTCATATCCGTAGCCAACCACCAGCACACCATGATCCACATTGTCACTGCTACACTCTGGCTCAAAATAAACACCTGGAAGAATAGAATGACTGCTGGGGTGAGAAGCTGCAGGGGACACCTACTAGTACCTCCCCTGCTACCTCAGTAAGGGGGGCATTTCTAATTCAGTGACCTGACATACATTCCAGGTAGGACACAACAATAAGACCTATTATGATCAAGTCTAGAAATTTAGGCCCTTGTTGAAAACTAGCAGAAATACAAGTTAGCATAAATCCTTTTATTAAAAAATCTGCCTACTTTAGGTCCCCATGTTAAAGTGGGGAACATTAATGGGTGCCAACACATTGTCAGATAATTAGGTACTACATACAATGAACAATAGTTGATAGCATAAAAAAGTGACTATAATCAGCAAGTTAGGGTATACTTTAAAATAACTAAAAGAGTAGATTTGGGCTTGGCACCTGTAGCTCAGTGGCTAGGATGCTGGCCAATTAACACTGGGGCTAGCAGGTTCGAACCCAGCCCAGGTCTGCCAAACAACAATGACAACTACAACGAAAAAATAGCTGGGCATTGTGGTAGATGCCTGTAGTCCCAGCTACTTGGGAGGCTGAGGCAAGAGAATCACTTAAGCCCAGGAGGTTGTTGTGAGTTGTGAAACCATGGCACTCTACCGAGGACAACATACTGAGACTCTGCCTAAAAAAAAAAAAAAAAAATAGATTTGGAATGTTTCTTTTCTTTTTTTTTTTTAAGAGACAGTCTCACTTTGTCACCCTGGGTAGAGTTCTGTGGCTTCATAGCTCACAGAAACTTCAAACTCTTGGGCTTAAGCAATTCTCTTGCCTCAGCCTCCCAAGTAGCTGGGACTACAGGTGCCTGCCACGATACTCAACTATTTTTTGGTTGTAGTTGTCATTGTTTGGCAGGCCCGGGCTGGATTCGAACCTGCCAGCTCCAGTGTATGTGGCTGGCACCCTAGCCACTGAGCTACAGGCACCAACCCCACTCTAAGCTTCTTTGTAAGTTTATAATTCTGCTCTCAGATGTCAGTGTAAAAAACAGCATAGGCCTGGCATGGTGGCTCACATCCGTAATTAGCACTTTGAGAGGCCGAGGTGGAATGGATGCTTAGCAAGACCTCTGCCTCTACAAAAGAAATAGAAAAAATAGCTTGGGGCCACAACCATAGCTCAGCGGCTAGGGCGCTAGCCACATATACCGAGGCTGGCGGTTCAAACCTGGCCTTGGCCTGCTAAAACAACAACGATAACTGTAACAAAAAAATAGCCAGGTGTTGTGGCAGGCACTTGTAGTCCCAGCTACCTGGGAGGCTGAGGCAAGAGAATCACTTAAGCCCAAGAGTTTGAGGTTGCTGTGAGCTGTGATGCCATGGCCTACTGAGGGAGACATGGTAAGACTCTTGTCTCAAAAAAAAAAAAAGAAAAAAATAGCATGGTAGCACATGACTGTAGACCCAACTACTCAGGAAACTGGGGCAGGAGGATCATCTGAGCCCAGAAAATCAAGGCTGCAGTAAGCTATGATGATGTCACTGCAAGGTAGCCTCTGTGATAGTAAGACTCTGCCTGTACTCTCCCAACCCCAAACCTCTAGGACAGAACCCCAAAATTCTTGACTTAAGAGGTTCCTTTCAGATTTAATTACAGAAGTAAAAACCTTTGGAAAAATTGTTGGAAAGATCCAATAATTAGAGAATATTTATGAAAATTAAACAATAAATTATGCAGCTGTTTTAAAAAATTATGAAGTGGCTCGGTGCCCATAGAACAGTAGTTATGGCGCCAGCCACATGCACGAGGGTGGTGGGTTGAGCCTGCCCCAGGCCAGCTAACCAACGACAACCGACAACTGCAACAACACCAACAACAAAAAAAAGCTGGTGTTGTGGTGGGTGCCTGTAGTCCCAGCTACTTGGGAGGCTGAGGCAAGATAATTGCTTAAGCCCTAGAGTTTGAGGTTGCTGTGAGCTGTGACGCCACAGCACTCTACTGAGGGTGACATAGTGAGACTGTCTAAAAAAAAATTATGAAGCACTACATTCATAGAGGTATGGTCAACATAAAGTCAAATGAAGACATCAGGCACAAATATCGCATATATAGAGAATGAACAATTATGTTAAATCCATGCACCCAAATATCTACGTTGAATTTTAACACAACAAAGAGTCCATCGTGCTGGTATGTTATGGTGGTTTTTTTTTTTTTTTTTTTTTGAGACAGAGCCTCAAGCTGTCCCCCTGGGCAGAGTACCGTGGCAT